TGCCTTTTTGTGCGTCTCAGTCATTTACGAAAGCATTCCTTCTTTAATTTAAAATACACATTTTCAAGAAGACTGGATCAAAAACTGAACAGATTGTTTCTTTTCTGTAACTGGAACAAAAACTCAACGCCTTGATCATACACACACACACACACATACACATATCTGGCTCAGTGCAGCCCACTAAACACCAACATCAAAGAATCCTCTTGTCCCTATAATACCCAGCCCCAAAACACCAGACGCAAACCTGTCACCATTCCCACCTGAACGGGTCTTTCGGCGCCATCATAGCCTCTATAAGCAAATACACTTGCCCCAATGCATCTGAATGTCCGTCTGAATGTCCATCTGAATGTCCATCTGAATGTCCATCTGAATGTCCACCTGAATGTCCATCTGAATGTCTATCTGAATGTCCATGTCGGTGCGGTCTCCACAGTCACCTGCTGTTTGCCCGGGGCTCTGACACCGGAGAGAGAGAGGGGGGGGTGGGACGCGGAACTCATCAGCGCCTCTCCAAACGTCTAAAGCAATCAGTGTGATGGCTTTCACAATCAGCCGCTTGTGCATATGCTCAGTCTGTCTGCAGCTTCTCTTTGGATGAACAGAGACAGAGCTGCACAGTTTTTAACATGAAGAGGGCCTTTATTTGTCCCACTGCGAGGAAATGTCAGTGTTGCATCAGCAGTTATAGAGCGGTAGGAATGAAGAGCACACAGCACAAGATATATGATCGATAACTCGTTACTAAAATACAATAAACTTCCTTACTTTAGCATAATAAAGAAGACCGTTTCAAATCTCTAGCTAATTTTTTACTTTGGACCATAGCAGAGAAAATGGTCCAAACCAAGCGGCTCCACCTCTGCTGCTGTGACCTGAAGTGTTGTTGCTAAATATTACTGTTGTCATCTTTTCAGTTATCAATTGGTTTGTTTTGATTGTATGGATGGATGTTTTTGCTGCTACAACTAAATTTCTCCTACGGGGACCAAAAAGTATCTATCTAATAAAGAATAAAGTATTTAATCTCGAACTTTTGCACAATAAAGAAGCTAGTATAAAAGCTCTAACTAATACATAATAAAGAAGCAATTATCAATGCTCTAACCTTAGTACCTTGCGGTACGGCAAACAAAATTCATGTGGGCAACCCCAAAAAAGTCCCATAGAACTCAATGTAAACTAAAACAGTTCGGTAAACAAAGAAGTAAACATTAACATAAATACAACATTTTAGAACGCATTTGCAGAGGATGGAATTATGGATTTAGATTGAGTTTATGTTTGGGTCACTCACCGCTGATGTTCACAATTCTTTGTTCAGTTTGAGAGTAGCTAGCCTAGCTGTTACTAGCCTAACTGTTGCTCGCCTAGCCACGGCACAGTAAGACTTTTGGGAACTAATTCATTTGCAGTCATTAAATAAACCTTTCGATATTCATAAAAGTGGACTGAAGTTTAGTGTGTGTGTTCGGTTGGTACAAAGCCCTATAATAAGCGTATAATAAGCAGGCCGCTTTGCCATGTCGGTACTGATCTTCCGATAATGACCTTCCTACTATACATTATCTCTACGTATCTTAGTATAGAGTTATTTGTCATTTATCTAGAGCTGGTTGCTCCTCATTCCCACTGTCCTGTAACTGGTGACGCAACACTGACATTTCCCCGCTGTGGGACCAATAAAAGATCTCTTCATGTAAGCTGCAAAAATGACAAAACCATCAAAACAAAAACATTTATTTAAAGTTTGACCGTTACAACACTATTTCTGTGAGCTTCCACCCGCATGGACTGTATATGGGATATGTACAGTCTGCTCCTCTGATGTGATACATACTGTACATATCACTGTACATAGTACTGCACATGTCAAAGGTTAATGCTCAGAGCCAAAGCAGAAAGTGAGCCGTGTGCCGCGCCAACACCTGCAGGAGATGGAAATGGATTTGGCCAAAGGAGAATCTGGTCTAATTCACTCATTCCCAACCACAACACAGACTCACGGCTGCTGTGTCTGAGTGCTCCGGTCTCCTCCACGGAAGGAGTCAAAATAAATCCTTGTTACTTTTAGAAATAAAGGAATTGTTACTCGTTAAAGCCACAAAACAGAGCAAGACAGAGAGGAAACTCTTTGGAAATGCAAAGGGACACATTTCTCTACATGGGCCCTTAAGTGTAGCTTAGTCTGAGTGTAACTGGCCCTATCACTGTCACTTAAACTGTTCATTTTGTTGACAAACTGTTATCGTCATATTTTTCTTCCCAAATATATATTTTAGGCATGAAAACTTTACACAAAGTAAAATAGGAGTCATTCATTGGGGTTATTTAATTGACCAACAGTTTAATCCACGAATAAAAGACCAGACCTTAAAATAGACCATGACAAAATCCAATCAGAAGAAAGGATAGAGGAGGCAAATGAGAAAAAAAAAAACAGTCAACTGGCCAGACTTGATGCGAGAAGGACCAATGAGGGCTTGCCTTATTAAGCACCGGTGGCACCAGCTGTGAACTTAAGCTATTGCTATCGCTAACCACAACACCACTGTCGAAAGTTTGACAAGTATCCATTGATGATGAAAGAAACAAGAACATGTCCATGGCTTGGAGGAAAGGAAGAGGAGATCTGTGGGGCCTTAATACGTTTGACAAAGAAGAAATGAAGACCAAATGTAAAGTCTGCTAGCGGCTTTTCTTGGGAAGAACACAAACATTTAGAGAAACGTTTACAGAATTCTCACTCCGACCTTTTCCTCAAAGATACCTTTCTTTGCTTGGACTTTATTTTGTTTTATTGTACCAAACTATACTATTTAAAATTTAGTACGTGTAGCATTCATTTGACAAAAAACGATAAAGTCGCCTAAAGTATTTCAGAATTTTCAGAAAAGTTGTATATTTTAGTCGACTAAAATTGCTTCATACTTTTGTTTAATGAAATTGGACGAAAACTAAACTGCACTCAAAGACATTAGTCATAAGTCATTGCCAAACTTTAAATCACTTTTTATTTACCAGCTTTTAACGCCGACTGAGATATGTTTCTTTATGATGTCTTTGAGTAAATTCATATAGTTATTGTTTTAATATTTTGTTAATTCTTGTATATTTTTGTCTACAGCACTTGGCTGTAAAGTTCTAAAGTGCTTCGTGAATAAAGGCTCAGGGACGTGCAGTCAGGGGAGGCAGGGGAGGCAGAGCCTCCCCTGCCATTATTGGAAACTAATAATTATTTTAGTTTAAATATATAATTTATATCCACTGTCCTATGCTTTTAATGTATATTCGGCACGGTTCCCATCAGTTTTGATCATTTCTGAAGTCAAAATCGCCGAAATCCCGTTATTCCTATTCAAAGAGACGAGGTGAGGCAGCGCTCCTGCGTGCCTCACCTCAGACCGCTCCCTCACAGTGTGTGTGTGTGTGTCTGAGTGCACTCAGCTCGTGCAGTTGATATATCACCGTTTGTTTCAAATATCCTGCTTTAAAAACATTTTTTAAACTCCTCTTAGTGTTTAGTAGTGTATTGCACGTATGTGTGTACAATTTATATTTAGTTTAAGTCTTTTGATCGTAGATGAACACACAAGGAAAAAGCTTGGCGTGAGGCAGGCGGTATCTGTGCCTCACCGCTAGGGGTGATAGTGAGCATAAAGTTCATACCAGAGTTGCTAACAAACAATCAGCCCAAAATGCTATTTCTTTTGCTGGAAAATGGATGATTTGAATGAAGATTTTTTTTCTCAATTGGACTTTCAAACAAAGAAAGAATTAATATAGACTGGGAGACCACCACTGGACTTACGAGGTTAGTCCGGCTGCGGGGGAGGAGTTTGTTAATCTGTGTTTTATGTTGAACATTGACAGATACCGGCAAAGTAGTGCTTTTCCGAAAAACACTGATTCAAACACTGCTCAAGAGTTCTGCAACTTGTTTAAATTATTGTTTATGTTCCTCGCGTCTCTCTCTCCTCGCGTCTCTCTCTCCTCGCGTCTCTCTCTCCTCGCGTCTCCGTCTCTCTCTCTCCTCGCGTCTCCGTCTCTCTCTGCTCCTCGCGTCTCCGTCTCTCTCTGCTCCTCGCGTCTCCGTCTCTCTGCTCCTCTCTGTCTCTCTCTGCTCCTCTCTCCTCGCGTCTCTCTCTCCTCGCGTCTCTCGCACCTGCGCTTCTTAAAGATGTTGTTTGATGCGGAGCAGAGTCAGCAGCTAGATTTGTTGTGAGATTATTAAAAGAAGCTGGTTCTCTTATCTTTACAGTATATAAAGTTTGTGGATGTCATTGCATTGGTGATTAAATGCTATTTTATTTGAATAATGATTGTAAATCTGACTTTTAAAGTCAGTGCCTCCCCAATCACAAACCTCACCGCACGTCCCTGTAAAGGCTATACGGTACGATAGCTTCATACGTCAAAACAACCAGCCTGCACAAGCCCATCCACAAAACAATTGAAAATGGTGTGGAATAATTTCTGGAACTTTTGTACATTTCCTTTCATTGCTTCTGCCAAAGCTGGGTTAATAAACAAGTAATGTCTTGATAACGCTCAAGAATTATTGCTATTTTCCTGCAAATGTCCCCAGGGCTTTCAACGCAAATTATTCTATTCTGAATGTTTTTAATCCTTTCACCAGTTGTTTCACCAAAAAATCCATAGACCTAACTTTTAATTCTACGCATGCAATCCGAGCTTCTCCGAAACACATCCTCTTTTCTCGTGTTGATTTAATATCTTCAAAGAGAGAGTGAAATGTAACGAACATCCGAGTTTCCATGGTGACAGGCGATGGAGGAAAGCCCTGTTGCTATGGGCTTTGGGGCGCAGAGTTAAACGCTCCCTAAACACAAAGTCAACACAATCAGAGGCTCCTGGGACAGAAGGCAAAGCTCAGTCATCGCTAAATCACATGTCGCAAGAAAATCTCAGTTTTTTTGATTGCTAGAGGCATAAAATAGACTCTGTAAAACTCTTCTTCACACTGTCGCCATATGCTGACCATGTCCAGCCAGAAATTAGATATAAGTAAGTAGTTTTTTTACAGGCCAAGGTCACCCAAAGCGCTTTACAATGTTCATAGTTCAGATATTGTTCCATTCTCTCCACACGGTGATGACGGAAGCGAGACGCCGAACACACTGGTCCATCAAAGCCTCCGACCAAACACCATTCATTCACTCACTCATTACATTCATACCTATAGTGCATGTTTTTAGAGGTAGGGGAAACCGGAGCACCCGGAGGAAACCTACGCAGACCATGCAAACTCGGTACATTCAGAAAGCCCTGTTCCGACCGGGATTCGAAGTTTAACCACAACAGAAAGAGGAAATATTGGGCAACTGAAGCTATGTATTCAAATTAGTACTTATCCTGAAGATGAGATACTTTAGCTTCAAACCTCAAAATAATGAACTATCTAAAAAAATAACTCTAGTTTGGTTCTATCACTAGTTTTCACACGGATGGTTATAGTTCTCTGTCGTATCTTTAGATCAGCTTTTTCAAACAGAACATTTAAAAAGAGAAGACTACCTCACTCAGCCAATCAGATCTCATCCTTTATTCAGATTAAGATTATTATGTCTTCAGAGAGACCAGAAAAAATCAGAGACCAGAGAGAGACCCAGAGAGTGACAGAGACCCAAAGAGAGCATTGTGAGCTCTTTGTTTCTGGAGGTTTTTTAGAATAATCAATGACTCTTCTGGCCCCTGGAAAAGCCATGTTCCAGCTTCTTCCCTCTGGCAGATATTGTTCGCTGAGTTGCAGGACATCTTGTTATCCTAACATCTTCTTTCCAAAAGCTGTTATCATTTTAAACAGAGCCGTTGCATTGAAACTGTTTTAGTTTGATTGATTTGGTTGGTTTCCTGCACATGTTATTTTATCTGTTTATTATGTACTTCTCTGGTTCACACTGCAGACATTTTGCAGATGTACAGTATACCAATGTGGTTTTACTGCAATAGGCAAATAAAATTAAGATTTTTTCCAGACGCATTTTTTTCAAATATTGTGGGAAAACATCCCTAAACCCTAAAAGTTTTCATGTGTTTTAAAATAGTAATGGAATTGACCCGATGCCTGTAGTCACCAAAAAATAATACGAAATATTTTGGAGTGGACCGATAAAAATAAACCAATGGGATGCGTTTACCCTCTTCCTGTTTTTCTCGAGTGCACCTGAGTTATTGGATTTTATAAAAACCATTGTTAAAATAGTTGAACAGAAAAATTGTCAATTTCACGTTTGCTTCACTCTCCCTGTTGTGACAAAGAAAAGAAAATGCTGGATGTTTGGTTTGGTGGAGAGGGAGGGGAGGGGGGAGTGGTTTCCAGTTGGTGCTACGGCTAAGCTAACAACATCACTTACTGCACCTTTAAGTTAAATGCTTTTTCCCTCTTTAATATTGCCTATGGTTTGCACATCCAGAGTGATCTTATGAAAGCAAAATGCAACATGTACATTTCACCATTGGGAGATAATTACACATTTATTTCATGTTTTCTTATTTTCACACAATTTAGTGGTCTTCAAACGAGTCAAAGAGTCGAACATTCGAAGCCTTAACAAACCTCAGACTAATTGGGGTGGTGTATGTGGCTGTGTGGACACGTGCTGGATTCTTCTGTGGAGTTTTCCCGTTAGAGCAGAGTAATGAAAGCATGAGAGGAGGTTTTCACATCAGCTCCCACATATTTGCAGATAAATATGAGATTAGTGTTCTCAGCTGCTCCCTGGGTGCCGCGGACCCTCTCCCTCCTCACGGACCCTCTTTCTGCTCTGACGCCTCTCAACAGGAGCCAGATAAGAAAGAAGTGTATCAATCTCACAGTAAAGAGGAATGAAGAAATGGACATGTTTTGTTTGGAATTACTCGGGGTGTGCAAAAGAGGGAGAGAGAGGAGAGAGGGAGAGAGAGAGAGGGAGTGGGAGAGAAACTGAGAGAGAGAGGAAGAGAGAGACAGAGAGAGACAGGGGGAGAGAGTGAGAGAGAGACAGACAGAGAGAGAGGGAGGGGGTGAGATACAGAGGGAGGGAGAGAGACAGAGAGATACAGGGGGAGAGAGTGAGAGAGAGACAGACAGAGAGAGAGGGAGGGGGTGAGATACAGAGGGAGGGAGAGAGACAGAGATAGACCAGAGAGGGAGGGAGAGAGACAGAGAGAGAAGAAGGGAGAGGAGGAGAAACAGAGGGAGTGGGAGAGAAACAGAGAGAGAGACAGACAGAGAGAGAGACAGACAGAGGGAGAGAGAGAGGGAGGGGGAGAGATACAGAGAGAGACCAGCGAGGGAGGGAGAGAGAGAGAAAGAGAGAGACAGAGAAGAAATAAGCAAACAGGATGTGCAAATATGTAAAAAAGTAAAAAAAGAAAAAGGGTAAAAAAAAGAGTAAAAAAGTATCTTATGAGCAATAAAAGTCTGTTGTGCACAATTTAAAAAAGACAAGTAATATTCATGTACATTTATGTGAATAACACTGATACTTTAATGTAATACTAAAGCTGAGATACCTAACTTTCAAAACTCACTAAAACTTATCAATAAAACAACTAAAAGATTGACAACTTTGTAAACATTTCCAAACTGATTTGTAAATCCTCATCCGGCGTGAGGACTTTAAATGATTCTGTTTTGGAGCGAGCGATGTATTTACCATGTGACTTTTCTTCTGCAGGATTGTGCGACGGCTTCAACATCGACACCAAGAACCCGCGGATCATTAAAGGGCCCAAGCAGGCTCAGTTTGGGTACACGGTGCAGCAGCATGTGGCGGCGGGCGGCGAGAAATGGTAAAAACTGACAGTAACACACAACTTCATACACACAACTTAACTTTATACACACAACTTTATACATACAACTTTATACACACAACTTTATACACACAACTTTATACAGTACATACAACTTTATACACACAACTTTATACACACAACTTTATACATACAACTTTATACACACAACTTTATTCACACAACTTTATTCACACAACTTTATACACACAACTTTATACACACAACTTTATACATACAACTTTATACACACAACTTTATACACACGACTTTATACATACAACTTTATACACACAACTTTATACACACAACTTTATACACACAACTTTATACACACAACTTTATACATACAACTTTATACACACAACTTTATACATACAACTTTATACACACAACTTTATACACACAACTTTATACATACAACTTTATACACACAACTTTATACACACAACTTTATACACACAACTTTATACACACAACTTTATACATACAACTTTATACACACAACGTCGGCCTGTACCCTCCCCCTCCCCTTTGCAGTCGCGCTAAGTCAGTATAGGCTGTAGTCCATTCTAAGGTCATCAGGAAGTTCAGCTCTGTCCTGGGCTGTCCTGGGCTGTCCCGGGCTGTCCAGCTCTGTCCTAGGCTGTCCTGGGCTGTCCCGGGCTGTCCAGCTCTGTCCTGGGCTGTCCTGGGCTGTCCAGCTCTGTCCAGCTCTGTCCTGGGCTGTCCAGCTCTGTCCTGGGCTGTCCTGGGCTGTCCTGGGCTGTCCAGCTCTGTCCAGCTCTGTCCTGGGCTGTCCAGCTCTGTCCTGGGCTGTCCTGGGCTGTCATGGGCTGTCCCGGGCTGTCCAGCTCTGTCCTGGGCTGTCTTGGGCTGTCATGGGCTGTCCTGGGCTGTCCAGCTCTGTCCAGCTCTGTCCTGGGCTGTCCAGCTCTGTCCTGGGCTATCCTGGGCTGTCATGGGCTGTCCCGGGCTGTCCAGCTCTGTCCTGGGCTGTCCAGCTCTGTCCTGGGCTGTCCTCTCTCGCTGTGTGAACAAGGGGTTTTCCAACTCTTTCCTTCCTGCGTCTGTCAGACTTTACAATACTTTACTGAGCGACTTTCAACGACAAGTTCTGTAAAAGTGAATACTGCAGTCATGTGAAACAGGAGGAGGAATGAAAGCATGGAACAGCCTCCTGTGGCCTCCCACCTGCAGGAGGACCAGAGGGGGGCTGAGGAGCAAGAGCCAGAACAGGGTAAGGTTGGAATGAGACTACTCGAGTACCATGGCCAGAGAAGTTACATGCAGCGAATTACTTCAAAACCCTTGGTCATTTTTCCTCTGAGGATAAATAAAAACGTTCTTATCTTATCTAGTAATGAATTCTTTCTGGCTCTGGCTGCGCTGCTTTATTTTTTAAGTTTGTTTTGGCTTTTTCTTTTCTGACACATTTCTTTCTTCCTCCTCATGTAAAGATGGCACATGTTCAAACGACACGCCTACATTTCCCACTTTTGTCCCAGGGAGCAGTCGGAAAATTTGGGATTAACAAATATATATTTTGATACTACTACTACTACTGCTACTACTACTACTACTGCAGACTCAGCCGTTTGGTGGTTTCCCTCGGGGGCCCTCTTTACACCACACAATGGACCCAATGTGTTCTGGGTAATCCCACAGTTGTAGCCGTCATGTTTTCTTATGGTTCCTGTCGGTAGGTTCTCCTCCCATGGGACAAACGACCAGAGTTTGTGTTGGAGACAGACGTTATTGGCTTCATATAAAAAATGTCCAGCTCCAGGCCATCATCTGAGGACCATAGTGAGCCCATAGTGTGACTGTGACTACTTTACTCTAGGTTTGGTCTGATAAGTCTGTGGGAAGTGGGCCAGAAGAAAGACTATACTTTGTTATCCTTCGACAGGACATTAGTCGGCTCTGAAATAGGACTAGAAGACACATACCATACAACATTTTTATTTGGCAGCCCTAATAATGTTGCCAAATGTTGTAACTTCCAGCATAACTCAGCTCAAAGACGTCCTCCCCCTTCTGTGAAATACTCATTTGTTAAACTTGTTACCCTCTGTTTAACTTTTAGATGTTGTGAGAGCACTTCCTCCAAACCAGATCCAACCCTGGTTCTTTGGATAGAACCTGGTCCTGTGGTCTAACCCTGATCATCTTGTCTGGACCAGTTATCGTCCAGGTGTAACCCGGGTCCTGTGGTGGGGACCAGGTTTTAAACCAGACCTAACTCCATACTGGCTTCTAGCGATAGGTCTGTGGTGTGCTAGCTGGCCTTAGCCATTCGTACACTCCGGTCAATCATTATTTCACTGCACGTAGCGCATGGGTCTGGACTCTATGTTTGGGATTACGTCGATTGAGTTCCATCCGACCAATCAGCGAGCGCGGGAGGCGGGTGTTGTAGTTAGATGTGGGTGACGGGCAGGTTGTAGTTTGGCAGTGGCGATAGCAGGATACAGCAGGATGTAGCAGGATGTTGCAGGACCTAGACATGTGCGAAACAGTGTTTTGTGAAAGTGGCTCCTGTTGAAGTCGTCATGTTGTCTGTTCCTTTGGAGCTGATGAGACGGACATGTGGATGGGACACCTGACAAGTCTGGGAAAGTACTCATGCTCAAAGTGAATACTCACATCAGAGAAGAGCCTGGAGGAGTGGACTGAGGCCGATAAGAACCAACTCAAACAGGCCTCATGGGCAGGAATCTGGAGCAAAATGCATGGAGCAGCACATGTAGGGGCCAAAACTTGCCCCCTAATTGGGAAAGCCAGACTCCGTCAGACCTCTGGAGCAGGGGCAGGGCAGGGCAGGCAGGGCAGCAGGCTGCAGGGCCTGAGTTAGTGAGTTGATGGGAGACCTCCAAGAACACCTAGGGGCCACAGGGGGGCGGCCAAACTATTGGTTGCTGTCCTTAGGATTGCACACGTTCACCCCACATTAGAATAGGGTCTGAAGGTGTGTGTAAGATTGGTTGGGGGTTGCAGGTGCATCCTGTCAGATATTATACGCCAGGGCAGCTGTGGCTACCGGATTCGGAAAGTCTGTGAGGTTTGTGCCAGAAATGTGTGTTATTACCAGTAAACCGCTGCACACAGCTTTTGTAACTAGTGTTTCCCCAGTTCAGCTGGATTTTAAAATATGTATAAGTTTGGCGGGCTGTCATCTCTGAGCAATCAAACCATTTTTGTATAGAATTTTAAGTGACTGATTACCTGCAAGTCTGGGGTCACCTGTGTGTGCATGTGTCAGACCAACGCTGGCGATCACTTCACCCCCTGCAAAAGGTAATGAAGTGACATATTTCATCTTTCATCCCAAAGTGTCAAATAGTGGCTCACAGGACGCTCATGTTTTCAAATGAGAGGAAGATGTGTGAAAAGTTCGATCCTTTCACCTTCATTTGTTCTTGCTCTGCTCTCCCTGCTGATCCTGAGAGAGGCTACACCATCTTCACAGCGCCTCCTGCTGTTAGAATATGGTACGACAAAGCATGGCTGTGTTGGCAGCATTCATTTCAAATGCTGATTTAGCTTTTTATTTAACTTTCAATCCACACCTGGTTTGGCTTCTGTCACATCTTTAGATCAGCTTTTCAGACAGAAAAGTGAACAAGAGAGCCTGCTTTCTAATGATTGTGTGTGATCTGAAAAAAGTACAAAACAATATTAGAATTTACATACAATTATTAACATCTATTAGTATCAAAAAGTAAGTTTAGTAAGTACGTTTAAAGATATACAGTTAGCTGACACAAAGGGGTCGAGTGTTATAGGAGGTCTTTTGGCTTCCTCTAGTGGCTGTGTTAAGCCAGCACATTGACTAAAAAACCCATTAATTCATAATTTTCATAACTTCTGACACAGGAGCCTAAGGTCGTCCACTCTTTTTGATGGTTCCTTGCACAGAGGAGACAGATTCTTCCAGGCTGTTGTTCCTTGTCTTTGGAATGAGCTTCCCCAGTCTCTGCGCATTAGAATCAGTGGACAAATTTAAGTTGCAACTTAAAGGTATGAAGGAGGATTTTCCTAAATTTTAGGAAAGAACCACGCTCTCCGCTTTTTGAAAAAACTCTCTGATCTTATTTGACGAGCACCTATCACCAGAAAGATTGACAATTAGGAGGACCATATGTCTTGATGATCCACCAGGAAGTAGAAATTCCTCCTACATACTTTAAAGACCTATTTATTTAGGCAGCTTTCGTGCCTCACTGTACTTAGGCCTTTTTCCTGAAATGTGTTCACTATTCTGTATATTTGTTTCCGGGAACTGACTTTTATGTGAACTACTGTTACTGTATTTTTCCCATGGATCTATAATAATAACTGGATGGGGTATTACTAGCTTTCTCAGTTTTGGCTTGAAAAACAATGCGGGCATTGTCTGTAGATGTTACAGACAATGCCCGCATCCTTCCACCACCTGAAGAAGATCACAAAGTCTGGGATCGTGTCTTTCATTCAGACAGAAGACATGTTTTATTGTCAATGGTAGAGACAGCACGAACATGAACACGACAGAATGCAAGTGTATTATACAGCATGGAGGAATGCAGTCCTCCAATCAGCAGCTCCCACAGTGCCATGTAGCTAGGCCTTCAGAAGTCCAAACAAGGGAAAAGTACTGGCTCGTGCAAATGTAATAAGGATGAGTTTGAACTTTAACAATAGTTGCTTCAAAGTGTTATGAAATCTCACATGATCATTCGCCTGTCGGCCTGAAGACAGTTGGATATCGGAGCGGCAGCACTCTGGTATCTTCATACGTTTAAGGATATTCCAGTTGTGACCAAAAAGGCCCGAAAAATGAAACTGAAATGGCCTTTGTACAATGCCCAGCCCGAGTTACAGTATATCTGTTTGTGTATACGTATGTTTGTGGGAACAAGATTGTTTCTTTTCATCACCAGAGAATGCCAAGAGTGAAGCAGTAATCAGAGCAAAAGGTGCTTCTTTGAAGAACCGAGAAAATAAGACATATTCTTCTTTTTTTATTACAAGGTACATAATTCCACATGAGTTAATTCATAGTTTTTATGCTTTCAGTGTGAATCTACAATTTCATGAAAATAAAAAAACTTTTTGAATGAGAATGTGAATTTTGAATGAATGTCCAAACTCTTGGTATATATATGTATATATATATATATATATATATATATATATATATATATATATATAGCTGAGCGTAAAAATATTATATATATACTGTATATATATATGTATATGTATAATAATACAGCTCAAGCTCCACCAGAGGGCGGTAAAGTAGAACAAATGAGAGCACATGCGTCTGAAGCATAGACTGTGTTACGTAACAAGGATAAATGCAGTTTGTCGCAAAAAAAAAAAAAACACAGTAAGTGACATCACTGTTAGTGTGTCAGACTGTACAATGAGAACTACTGGCCTGTAAATACTGCTGTAATATGCTGTGGCTACAGCAGTAGTTTATGACCATAGTTTATGGAGTGAAAGAATAATGACGAATGAATGACATGTGAAGTGTCTTTGAGAGTCCTGAAAAGCGCTGTACAAAAACAATGTTTCATAATCATTAAAACTCAAATGAAAGACTGGAAATTTGAAGATGAAATGTTATTCAAATCGAAACAATATCCATCCATTTATCTATCTATCTATCTATCTATCTATCTATCTATCTATCTATCTATCTATCTATCTATCTATCTATCTATCTATCTATCTATCTATCTATCTATGTTGATCAATAACATATGATAGCTTGAGCGTCATCTCCCCATCAGCTTTACTAAAACTAGCTTTTTTTATTGCTCTCGTCAAAGTGATCAAACAAACTTGTTGCATTAATGACATTATTGGGGCAGAAACAAACATATTTTCATCTGGATTTGAACATTGTCAGAGAAGAAGCCTGTCTCACATTTTTGGGAAGACTATTCCAGATTTTAGATGCATGAATCTGAAATGCTGCCTCCCCATGTTTAATTCTGATTTTGGGCACCAGCAGGAGGCCAGTCCCTGTGCTCCTCAGAGTCTG